AGAGCACCTAGCCCAGACACACCACGTCCAATCCGCAACCCGCTCGAACCGCACGCAGTTCACGTATTCACGGACATGCCACATGTGCTGCACATACCCCTTTCACATATCATCGTGCTCCTACACTTACGGCTATGCTCGCATGCTTCTTTCGCCACCCGGCTTGCTTCAATCCCCGCCTCGAACCATCCGGTTGCTACTCGCTTTGACGTCGCATTTCTTCGTGTTTTGGATACCCACGGGATCCATTGCTCTCGCGGAAGGCTGCGATGAGCCCTCTGGCTGTCTTGGAGAATTGGTAGTGCAGTCAGCGAAGTCGGCAGTTAGGCTTGGTGAGCTCTGCCAGAGCAGCAGCTACCACTTAAATCGGCAGCGGATCGCCGGGACACGATATCACACACCACGGCAACACAACGTGACGCGGCTGTAGCGTGTGGCAGGTGCGCAACGCAGCAACAACTGGGGCGTTGTAGGGCCGGTAGAAGCGGTGCAAAACGAGGTCCTACCGGGATTTGAACCCGGATCGCTGGATTCAGAGTCCAGAGTGCTAACCATTACACCATAAGACCAGCACTAACTCACCAATCCGGAAACAAAATTTTAAACGCTTTCCTAAAGCCCCACACGACAGCTGGCGCCATCGCTACATTCTATGCCTGCAACGCCGCACAAAATCAAGCTCCTACCGGGATTTGAACCCGGATCGCTGGATTCAAAGTCCAGAGTGCTAACCATTACACCATAAGAGCACCTAGCTCAGACACACCACGCCCAATCCGCAACCCGCTCGAATCGCACGCAATTGACGTATTCACGGACATGCCACATGTGCTGCACATACCCCTTTCACATATCATCGTGCTCCTACACTTACGGCCATGCTCGCATGCTTCTTTCGCCACCCGGCTTGCTTCAATCCCCGCCTCGAACCATCCGGTTGCTACTCGCTTTGACGTCGCATTTCTTCGTGTTTTGGGTACCCACGGGATCTATTGTTCTCGCGGAAGGCTGCGATGAGCTCTCTGGCTGTCCTGGAGAGTTAGTAGTGCAGAATAGCGAAATCGGCAGTTAGGCTTGGTGAGCTCTGCCAGAGCAGCAGCTACACTTAAATCGGCAGCAGATCGCCGGGAACACGGATATAACACACCACGGCAACACATAGAGACGCAGGCTGTAGCGTGTGAGCAGGTGCGCGACACAGCAACACCTGGGTCGTTGTAGTGCCGGTAGAGGCGGTGCAAAAACGAGCTCCTACCGGGATTTGAACCCGGATCGCTGGATTCAGAGTCCAGAGTGCTAACCATTACACCATAAGAGCACCTAGCCCAGACACACCACGTCCAATCCGCAACCCGCTCGAACCGCACGCAGTTCACGTATTCACGGACATGCCACATGTGCTGCACATACCCCTTTCACATATCATCGTGCTCCTACACTTACGGCTATGCTCGCATGCTTCTTTCGCCACCCGGCTTGCTTCAATCCCCGCCTCGAACCATCCGGTTGCTACTCGCTTTGACGTCGCATTTCTTCGTGTTTTGGATACCCACGGGATCCATTGTTCTCGCGGAAGGCTGCGATGAGCCCTCTGGCTGTCTTGGAGAATTGGTAGTGCAGTCAGCGAAGTCGGCAGTTAGGCTTGGTGAGCTCTGCCAGAGCAGCAGCTACCACTTAAATCGGCAGCGGATCGCCGGGACACGATATAACACACCACGGCAACACAACGTGACGCGGCTGTAGCGTGTGGCAGGTGCGCAACGCAGCAACAACTGGGGCGTTGATAGGGCCGGTAGAAGCGGTGCAAAACGAGGTCCTACCGGGATTTGAACCCGGATCGCTGGATTCAAAGTCCAGAGTGCTAACCATTACACCATAAGAGCACCTAGCTCAGACACAACACGCCCAATCCGCAACCCGCTCGAATCGCACGCAATTCACGTATTCATGGACATGCCACATGTGCTGCACATACCACTTTCACATATCATCGTGCTCCTACACCTACGGCCATGCTCGCATGCTTCTTTCGCCACCAGGCTTGCTTCAATCCCCGCCTCGAGCCATCCAGTTGCTACTCGCTTTGACGTCGCATTTCTTCGTGTTATGGATACCCACGGGATCAATTGAATCTGCGCGGAAGGCTGCGATGAACCCTCTGGCTGTCTTGGAGAATTGGTAGTGCAGTCAGCGAAGTAGGCAGTTAGGCTTGGTGAGCTCTGCCAGAGCAGCAGCTACCACTTAAATCGGCAGCGGATCGCCGGGACACGATATAACACACCACGGCAACACAACGTGACGCGGCTGTAGCGTGTGACAGGTGCGCAACGCAGCAACAGCTGGGGCGTTGTAGGGGCCGGTAGAAACCGCTGCAAAACGAGGTCCTACCGGGATTTGAACCCGGATCGCTGGATTTCAGAGTCCAGAGTGCTAAACCATTACACCATAAAGACCAGCACTAACTCACCCAATCCGCAAACAAAATTTCAAACGCTTTCCTAAAGCCCCACACGACAGCTGGCGCCATCGCTACATACTATGCTTGCAACGCCGCACAAAATCAAGCTCCTACCGGGATTTGAACCCGGATCGCTGGATTCAAAGTCCAGAGTGCTAACCATTACACCATAAGAGCACCTAGCTCAGACACAACACGCCCAATCCGCAACCCGCTCGAATCGCACCCAATTCACGTATTCACGGACATGCCACATGTGCTGCACATACCCCTTTCACATATCGTCGTGCTCCTACACTTACGGCCATGCTCGCATGCTTCTTTCGCCACCAGGCTTGCTTCAATCCCCGCCTCGAGCCATCCGGTTGCTACTCGCTTTAACGTCGCATTTCTTCGTGTTATGGATACCCACGGGATCTATTGCTCTCGCTGAAGGCTGCGATGAACCCTCTGGCTGTCTTGGAGAATTGGTAGTGCAGTCAGCGAAGTCGGCAGTTAGGCTTGATGAGTTCTGCCAGAGCAGCAGCTACCACTTAAATCGGCAGCGGATCGCCGGGACACGATATAACACACCACGGCAACACAACGTGACGCGGCTGTAGCGTGTGGCAGGTGCGCAACGCAGCAACAACTGGGGCGTTGTAGGGCCGGTAGAAGCGGTGCAAAACGAGGTCCTACCGGGATTTGAACCCGGATCGCTGGATTCAGAGTCCAGAGTGCTAACCATTACACCATAAGACCAGCACTAACTCACCAATCCGCAAACAAGATTTCAAACGCTTTCCTAAAGCCCCACACGACAGCTGGCGCCATCGCTACATACTATGCTTGCAACGCCGCACAAAATCAAGCTCCTACCGGGATTTGAACCCGGATCGCTGGATTCAAAGTCCAGATGGCTAACCATTACACCATAAGAGCACCTAGCCCAGACACACCACGCCCAATCCGCAACCCGCTCGAATGGCACGCAATTCACGTATTCATGGACATGCCACATGTGCTGCACATACCCCTTTCACATATCTTCGTGCTCCTACACTTACGGCCATGCTCGCATGCTTCTTTCGCCACCAGGCTTGCTTCAATCCCCGCCTCGAGCCATCCGGTTGCTACTCGCTTTGACGTCGCATTTCTTCGTGTTATGGATACCCACGGGATCAATTGTTCTCGCTGAAGGCTGCGATGAGCCCTCTGGCTGTCTTGGAGAATTGGTAGTGCAGTCAGCGAAGTCGGCAGTTAAGCATGGTGAGCTCTGCCAGAGCAGCAGCTACCACTTAAATCGGCAGCGGATCGCCGGGACACGATATAACACACCACGGCAACACAACGTGACGCGGCTGTAGCGTGTGGCAGGTGCGCAACGCAGCAACAGCTGGGGCGTTGTAGGGCCGGTAGAAGCGGTGCAAAACGAGGTCCTACCGGGATTTGAACCCGGATCGCTGGATTCAGAGTCCAGAGTGCTAACCATTACACCATAAGAGCACCTAGTTCAGACACACCACGTCCAATCCGCAACCCGCTCGAATCGCACGCAATTCACGTATTCATGGACATGCCACATGTGCTGCACATACCCCTTTCACATATCGTCGTGCTCCTACACTTACGGCCATGCTCGCATGCTTCTTTCGCCACCAGGCTTGCTTCAATCCCCGCCTCGAGCCATCCGGTTGCTACTCGCTTTGACGTCGCATTTCTTCGTGTTTTGGATACCCACGGGATCAATTGTTCTCGCTGAAGGCTGCGATGAACCCTCTGGCTGTCTTGGAGAATTGGTAGTGCAGTCAGCGAAGTCGAACAGTTAAGCATGGTGAGCTCTGCCAGAGCAGCAGCTCCCACTTAAATCGGCAGCGGATCGCCGGGACACGATATAACACACCACCGCAACACAACGTGACGCGGCTGTAGCGTGTGGCAGGTGCGCAACGCAGCAACAACTGGGGCGTTGTAGGGCCGGTAGAAGCGGTGCAAAACGAGGTCCTACCGGGATTTGAACCCGGATCGCTGGATTCAAAGTCCAGAGTGCTAACCATTACACCATTAGAGCACCTAGTTCAGCCACAACACGCCCAATCCGCAACCCGCTCGAATCGCACGCAATTCACGTATTCACGGACATGCCACATGTGCTGCACATACCCCTTTCACATATCATCGTGCTCCTACACTTACGGCCATGCTCGCATGCTTCTTTCGCCACCAGGCTTGCTTCAATCCCCGCCTCGAGCCATCCGGTTGCTACTCGCTTTGACGTCGCATTTCTTCGTGTTATGGATACCCACGGGATCAATTGTTCTCGCTGAAGGCTGCGATGAACCCTCTGGCTGTCTTGGAGAATTGGTAGTGCAGTCAGCGAAGTCGGCAGTTAGGCTTGGTGAGCTCTGCCAGAGCAGCAGCTACCACTTAAATCGGCAGCGGATCGCCGGGACACGATATAACACACCACGGCAACACAACGTGACGCGGCTGTAGCGTGTGGCAGGTGCGCAACGCAGCAGCAGCTGGGGCGTTGTAGGGCCGGTAGAAGCGGTGCAAAACGAGGTCCTACCGGGATTTGAACCCGGATCGCTGGACTCAAAGTCCAGAGAGCTAAATATTACACCATAAGAGCACCTAGCTCAGACACAACACGCCCAATCCGCAACCCGCTCGAATCGCACGCAATTCACGTATTCACGGACATGCCACATGTGCTGCACATACCCCTTTCACATATCATCGTGCTCCTACACTTACGGCCATGCTCGCATGCTTCTTTCGCCACCAGGCTTGCTTCAATCCCCGCCTCGAGCCATCCGGTTGCTACTCGCTTTGACGTCGCATTTCTTCGTGTTATGGATACCCACGGGATCTATTGTTCTCGCGGAAGGCTGCGATGAGCCCTCTGGCTGTCTTGGAGAATTGTTAGTGCAGTCAGCGAAGTCGGCAGTTAGGCTTGGTGAGTTTTGCCAGAGCAGCAGCTACCACTTAAATCGGCAGCGGATCGCCGGGACACGATATAACACAGCACGGCAACCACAACGTGACGCGGCTGTAGCGTGTGGCAGGTGCGCACCGCAGCAACAACTGGGGCGTTGTGGGGCCGGTAGGAGCGGTGCAAAACGAGGTCCTACCGGGATTTGAACCCGGATCGCTGGATTCAGAGTCCAGAGTGCTAACCATTACACCATAAGACCAGCACTAACTCACCAGTCCGCAAACAAAATTTCAAACGCTTTCCTAAAGCCCCACACGACAGCTGGCGCCATCGCTACATACTATGCTTGCAACGCCGCACAAAATCAAGCTCCTACCGGGATTTGAACCCGGATCGCTGGATTCAAAGTCCAGAGTGCTAACCATTACACCATAAGAGCACCTAGCTCAGACACAACACGCCCAATCCGCAACCCGCTCGAATCGCACGCAATTCACGTATTCATGGACATGCCCCATGTGCTGCACATACCCCTTTCACATATCATCGTGCTCCTACACTTACGGCCATGCCTTTCGCCACCCGGCTTGCTTCAATCCCCGCCTCGAACCATCCGGTTGCTACTCGCTTTGACGTCGCATTTCTTCGTGTTTTGGGTACCCACGGGATCTATTGCTCTCGCAGAAGGCTGCGATGAGCTCTCTGGCTGTCCTGGAGAGTTAGTAGTGCAGTTAGCGAAATCGGCAGTTAGGCTTGGTGAGCTCTGCCAGAGCAGCAGCTACCACTTAAATCGGCAGCGGATCGCCGGGACACGATACAACACACCATGGCAACACAACGTGACGCGGCTGTAGCGTGTGGCAGGTGCGCAACGCAGCAACAACTGGGGCGTTGTAGGGCCGGTAGAAGCGGTGCAAAACGAGGTCCTACCGGGATTTGAACCCGGATCGCTGGATTCAGAGTCCAGAGTGCTAACCATTACACCATAAGAGCACCTAGCCCAGACACACCACGTCCAATCCGCAACCCGCTCGAACCGCACGCAGTTCACGTATTCACGGACATGCCACATGTGCTGAACATACCCCTTTCACATATCATCGTGCTCCTACACTTACGGCCATGCTCGCATGCTTCTTTCGCCACCCGGCTTGCTTCAATCCCCGCCTCGAACCATCCGGTTGCTACTCGCTTTGACGTCGCATTTCTTCGTGTTTTGGATACCCACGGGATCTATTGTTCTCGCGGAAGGCTGCGATGAGCTCTCTGGCTGTCTTGGAGAATTGGTAGTGCAGTCAGCGAAGTCGGCAGTTAGGCTTGGTGAGCTCTGCCAGAGCAGCAGCTACCACTTAAATCGGCAGCGGATCGCCGGGACACGATATAACACACCACGGCAACACAACGTGACGCGGCTGTAGCGTGTGGGCAGGTGCGCAACGCAGCAACAACTGGGGCGTTGTAGGGCCGGTAGAAGCGGTGCAAAACGAGGTCCTACCGGGATTTGAACCCGGATCGCTGGATTCAGAGTCCAGAGTGCTAACCATTACACCATAAGAGCACCTAGCCCAGACACACCACGTCCAATCCGCAACCCGCTCGAACCGCACGCAGTTCACGTATTCACGGACATGCCACATGTGCTGCGTACCCCTTTCACATATCATCGTGCTCCTACACTTACGGCCATGCTCGCATGCTTCTTTCGCCACCAGGCTTGCTTCAATCCCCGCGTCGAGCCATCCGGTTGCTACTCGCTTTGACGTCGCATTTCTTCGTGTTATGGATACCCACGGGATCAATTGTTCTCGCGGAAGGCTGCGATGAACCCTCTGGCTGTCTTGGAGAATTGGTAGTGCAGTCAGCGAAGTCGGCAGTTAAGCATGGTGAGCTCTGCCAGAGCAGCAGCTACCACTTAAATCGGCAGCGGATCGCCGGGACACGATATAACACACCACGGCAACACAACGTGACGCGGCTGTAGCGTGTGGCAGGTGCGCAACGCAGCAACAGCTGGGGCGTTGTAGGGCCGGTAGAAGCGGTGCAAAACGAGGTCCTACCGGGATTTGAACCCGGATCGCTGGATTCAGAGTCCAGAGTGCTAACCATTACACCATAAGACCAGCACTAACTCACCAATCCGCAAACAAAATTTCAAACGCTTTCCTAAAGCCCCACACGACAGCTGGCGCCATCGCTACATACTATGCTTGCAACGCCGCACAAAATCAAGCTCCTACCGGGATTTGAACCCGGATCGCTGGATTCAAAGTCCAGAGTGCTAACCATTACACCATAAGAGCACCTAGTTCAGACACAACACGCCCAATCCGCAACCCGCTCGAATCGCACGCAATTCACGTATTCATGGACATGCCACATGTGCTGCACATACCCCTTTCACATATCGTCGTGCTCCTACACTTACGACCATGCTCGCATGCTTCTTTCGCCACCCGGCTTGCTTCAATCCCCGCCTCGAGCCATCCGGTTGCTACTCGCTTTGACGTCGCATTTCTTCGTGTTATGGATACCCACGGGATCAATTGTTCTCGCGGAAGGCTGCGATGAGCCCTCTGGCTGTCTTGGAGAATTGGTAGTGCAGTCAGCGAAGTCGGCAGTTAGGCTTGGTGAGCTCTGCCAGAGCAGCAGCTACCACTTAAATCGGCAGCGGATCGCCGGGACACGATATAACACACCACGGCAACACAACGTGACGCGGCTGTAGCGTGTGGCAGGTGCGCAACGCAGCAACAACTGGGGCGTTGTAGGGCCGGTAGAAGCGGTGCAAAACGAGGTCCTACCGGGATTTGAACCCGGATCGCTGGATTCAGAGTCCAGAGTGCTAACCATTACAGCACTAACTCACCAATCCGCAAACAAAATTTCAAACGCTTTCCTAAAGCCCCACACGACAGCTGGCGCCATCGCTACATTCTATGTCTGCAACGCTGCACAAAACCAAGCTCCTACCGGGATTTGAACTCGGATCGCTGGATTCAAAGTCTAGAGTGCTAACCATTACACCATAAGAGCACCTAGCTCAGACACAACACGCCCAATCCGCAACCCGCTCGCATCGCACGCAATTCACATATTCACGGACATGCCACATGTGCTGCACATACCCCCTTTCACATATCGTCGTGCTCCTACACTTACGGCCATGCTCGCATGCTTCTTTTCGCCACCAGGTTTGCTTTCAATCCTCCGCCTCGAGCCATCCCGATTGCTACTCGCTTTGACGTCGCCATTTTCTTTCGTGGTTATGGATACCCAC